TGTCAGTTAGAATTAGAAATTATTATTAATGAAAAACTCTATACTTTTCACATAAAAATTATCCTTTTAAATATTTTAATTTCTAAATTTTATCATATTTTTAAAAGAAATTAAAATTAACTTTCGAAATTTTATATGTAAATTTAAATTTTTCTAAAAATCAATGAAATTTTTAATTGCATGTAAAATGTTCATGAGCATTATATAAATATTTATTGCAAATCAAAGAATTATCTATCAAAGATAATTTCGTACAATTCTTAACTATGAGTTCCACGAACACAATGCAGTAGCTAATCGTAGTTAACAAATCGGCGATTTAATCGCTTTAATTGACGATATATTAAACATGGAAAATACCTAATGAATTAATTCCAAGGATATCGTCTAAGTATTTATGAAGATTATCGTATTTAAACATCGTTTATTCAACTATTTGTTTTTAAATATTAGATACAATTATTATTAAAATTGAATATAAGTTTATACTTTAAGAAAAATTTATGTTTAATATAGTTTCAGTTTTTTTAAATAATATATCATTTTTATATTTTATATTTCTATAATAGTTTAAATTTTGTAGTTTCTGAATCGATAGAAAAAAAACTATCGTTATTTGTATTTTTTACTAATAAAATTTTTTAATTGAATTTTTCATTATTAGATATTATTTATTTTTCAAAATGAGAGAAAACATTTACATTAATTAATTGTTTTATTATTATATTAAACAATGAATAATTCTTGTATTTGTCTACAAACTTTATGAAAACATATCTTTTCATACATCTTTTCTTTCTATCAATAGAGATTTATTATAAAATAAATAATAAAATATTTGTTTATGAACTATCAAAATTATTTTCTTTGAAAGTATTTTGATCTTAATCTAAATTTTTCTAAAAGAATATCACTTTTTTAATTTTTCTAGAGAAATTGACTTATCATTTGAATTGTGTTTTAAATAAAATAATTTTTTTGTTTATGGATATCTTACTTTTTTATAATATTATATTTTATTATATAATTTTTTATAAATAAATTATAATCTCATTATTTTTATTTATAACTAATTATCAAAAACAATCTAATTAATTGATTTAAATTAATTTGATTTTATGATTATTGAGAATTTCAATTACATATATATATATATATATATTATATCATAGATTAATCTATTAATTAGCTTAATAATATTTGATTCTATTCTATAATCGTTATATACTTCTATAATCGTTACCAATATATTAAATATATTTATGTTACTATAAATGAAGCCAAATCTCTTAAAAAAATATTTATTAAAAAATTTAAATGCGAAGTCATAAAGATTGTACGTGATAGAACAATATAATATTTGCTGATGAAAAGGAATTTAATCTGTTTGAATTGAACGAATGTGGAATTATAGGACATAAAACAAATGAAGAATTGGAAATGAAAAATTTAAAACCAAGAATAAATTACAACGATGCATTTTGACCATATATAACTAAACTAATTTTCATGAATTTTCATGAATATTTTAGACAAAAATATATAAAAATATATTATATATATTTATAGAAAGATATCTTAAAAATAAAATTTAAAAAAATTTATTATATATGGTAAGTTTTATATTTAACCATTATTTTATCATTTATATGTGGTAATTTTATATTTAACTAAACAACAATCATGATACATAATATTATATTTTAATTGTTTCAAATATTTAATTATTGTTATTTTACAATTATCACATTAAAATCTGATTTTAAAAATTTAAATTTATTTATGTTAATTAGATCATAATATTCAAACAAAGTTTATAAAAACAATAATAAAGTTTTTATTAATAATTTCAATTGTAAATGAGAAAGTAGTTAAAAATTATTTTATTATAATTAATAAAATTAATTCAAAAAAAAAGGATTGATATAAAAATTTCTTATAAAACCAGAAAATAATGATACATAATACTAAACATTACTATAGAAATTTGACATTGTTATAGAAATGCTACATGTAATATATTTAATTAACAATTAACAATTACATTTTTGTTTTTGTATAACATTCCAATAAATTCTGACTCAAATAAATCATTATTACAATAAATAAACAATACATTAAATCTACCAATAAATACTACAATTTCCAGTATGACAAAAATTCGATCAATCATCCATAGAGCAATTCTCAAGAAGAATCTCGATTTTTCTCTACTTCGATTCTTTTTTTCTCACCGAGTCCTAGAAATCGGCCAACCAAACCGCGGCCATATTAATTATAATTCTTCTGAATAACGCGTGTCACGTGAAACACGCGCGACTTTTGTGGAACTTGCCTTTTCCCCTGTCGAGCCATGCATCACTGTCGTTTTACGTGTAATGTGTGACAACTCTGAACTGATGTCGGTCAATGGTTAATGACATCATCATATACCGAACAACATTCGTGGAATGTAGCCGTGTATCTTCTGCACGGATCCTCGATGCTTTCCTCTCCGTTTTTGTTCCTCCTTTGTTGTTTGCTCGGAATATTGGGAAATATGGACGAATTAATTGAGAAATGAACACGAAAAGAAACAGTTTCGAAAAAGTGAAAAAAAATAGAAGCATGCAATATGCATTTTGCATATAGCTCAAGCTTATTCGGTCAATGTGAATTCTTTGAGCTTTCTTTCTTTATCAATTAACTAATAATTTCTGTCCAAGTAACTTGAAATCATTTTATTAATTCAAATCTGTCATTTGACTTGATTTGAAATATCTTTTCAAGTTTCAAATTCATATTCATTCAGATTCTTTCAACTTTTCTTTCGAATGATGAATTTATGAACTTATGAAAATTTACAATTCTTTTCTGTTTCTCTGGAAGAAGATAAAAGTTGATATTATTTAAAATTTTTCTTAAGACGATGTTTTTTTCATCATTTCATAAAAATATTTGAAAAAGGAAAGGAAAATTAAGAATTAGAACGTTCGAACATTTTCACAAATTATTGTACATAGATATACTCACAATCAACTGCATTTATTCTACGTACACAGTTTCTAATCATTCCGTTTACGCTTTTCGATCATTGTATCCCCGCAAACACATCACCACGTCAATTTGCATTCGCTCGATCACCACCCATTCTAACCAAATTTAATTAGTTTCAATAATCAATACACTAGAGCTCCATTTATCGGAACTCATGGACAAAACGTTTATATAGATATTGATTTATATTGATTTTCCTTTACCAACAATCATTCTTTGGTTTAATTAGACATTAACATTTCGAGGAACGAATTTAATATATTTATTCGTTTATCTGTTTATAGTGATTACATAAAATGTTCATCTATGTTCTATTTATTGTAACAATAAACGAAACTCATTGCATTTTTCTCCATATTTCACCAGATTTGAATCTAGTTATTTATATTTCAAAATGTTTCAATCTTATAATTAGTTATTTTAATGCGTATGATTATGAAAAATTATAATATTTTTTTGTCTCTTTCTTTCTGATATATTTCCTTTTCTTTCCATCTTATCATATATCAGCATATTAGTATGCTATTTTCACTATAATTTCGTCGATATTTAAAATTCCCTTTCCTTTTAAACTACTTACCTTGACATTACATACATATTTTAAGATACGAAATGGATGTTGTTATTTTATACATATTCTTGAAATTTATATTTTTTCATAATGATAAATATAAATAAATTTTCTCTTTTTTATTTTTACAAGTTATATAAAATCGATATATTCCATTAACGCATTGAATGTTTATACAAAATGAAATTTAAATTGATTAAAAAAATGGAGATTTGATTTTTTATTCTTCGATCATCATAATGCATATTATATTTTGTTGCTTTTTTGCATATTATATTCTTTAGATTTAAATTTTGCATAAACATTACATAATTATTAACAATATTATTTATGTGCATGTTATTAATTATCGACACGTTATCTCGTAGGATTAAATTTTATACTGAATGTTGGAATTAATTAGTCAAGTTAATAATCTCCTTTAGGTAATCTTATGAAGTAACAGAACATTCTGATTAAGATTATTAGATACATAAAAATACGTATAATAAGATATATGTTTATCCTTTCAAAAAATCTATATCTTTTTTTTTCAATAATCAGTTTCTAAATCTTTATACATTTCATTTACGATTGATACTTGTGACGTAAGAAGTGTTAATCAGTTCCTTGAAGAAAGATCTGGCTAATCTGCATGAATAATCGAATCTGTACGTCTAAGCACAAACGTAATTTATCATCTTATTATGCAATTATGCAATATTGTTCCATAATACACTAGTATATAGTGTATATATGCGTTACAAAATTTTGACGTAACACGATAAAACTGACTTTTTAATCTTAATAAAAATTGATCGATTATGAACTTGTTCTCTCTTAATTGTTATGAAACGTTCGTATGAAATCAATCGACACTGAGATATGATATGAATATGAATAATGAATTATGAATAATATCTATGACTGAAAAAAAAAAAATAATAAATATCAATATACATATTCCATGATTAAATTATGGAAAATATTAAAGCAAAAATTTAAATTAACAACATGTGTTTCATCACATTGTTAATTAATCATTTCTAATTATTCAACAGAAATTGAGGATTAAGAATGCCAGAAAACCAAGTACAATAAACAGATCTTAAATATATATTTATCATTTTATATTCATAACAATTTTAAAAGAATTCCAAATTTCTATCTAAATAAATTTAAAATTAATTCTCCTTAAAAAAAGAACTATTCTTCATCCACAATTGATGCGTTACAATCCTCTATTAATTAATTACATATTTGCACATAAGAAAGGATCAGACAAGAAGAAACGACTTAAGAACATAAGATTATTAATTCAATTTAAACGCTTAAAAATTTATTGTATAATTGAGACAAATATTTATACACAACCATTATCATATAAACATCGATCACGTTATCGAATCACGACTTATAACTCTAATTACATATCCATATCTTTTAAAAAAAAAAAAATAATGTCAAGCAAATAATGTCGCGTTGTTTCACGACTCACTACATTAATAACATTTGACGATTCAATGACGAAAAAAAAAATAGAAAAATTAAGTAAAGTCTATATAAAAAAAAAAAAACAAAAATACACTGCGTAACGATGAGCCTCGAAACTTTCGCACTCGATCCATCGTCGGGTCAATTACGCCTTATTTCTACTTTTATTGTTATTCGCGTGTTGCGTAGATCAGCGCGCACTGTCTTGCTCCGGATGGGCTGCGATGTACTCCAAAGCTTTGAGAATCGCGGCCGGGATCGGATGAGGGGTTGGAAGGTGTTCACCTTGCGGCTGGAAGCCATTTTCGTCGGCGACGTACGTCAACGCGACAGGAGATCCCTCTGCATTTGGATAACTGAACGATCCTTGAACGACCACTACCGAATTCGTGTCGTTCACTTGTTTCAACTGACCGTGCTCCTCCACCTTAATGCCGTTTCCAGTTTCGTAGGTGAAGACGTACGAGCCATCTACGTTCGGTCCATCGGCGCTGTACGCTATTATAGGCACTGGCGTGTTGTCAACTGGCGCGGCGGATGCGGAAACCGCGATGACGGCGAAGACAGCGCAAATCTGGAAAGTTGATTTTTCTATCGAAATTTCGTTGCATTTTGAACCGTGGTTGTTATTGGTATTGGTAGATGGAGAAAAATTTGATAAATCTTTGAGTTTTTTTTGTGATTTTATCGAGTTTTTATGGATAGAATATAGAGGATATGGAAAGTTGAGATATTTGATATTGTAAAATATATATTTTGTTTTTGAATTGTGTATAAATGATGTTGATTAGTTTATGCTTTTGAAAATTGAGATTTTTTGAGAAATATAATAATAGATGATATATTCATAATAAAGATTGTTTTATTTAAGTTCTTGAAAAAATGTATATTTATAAATAATAATCTTTCCTTTACAATATAATAGGAGATCAAATTTTAATTCCAAAGAAAAGAAATGTAAATTATTGAGAGATTTTGTTATGATTTTGAATATTCACATTGTAAAAAAAAAATAGTAAAAAATTTAATAGAATAGAATTGTCATGAAAAATAATTATAGATTTGTATAATTCATTTAGATTAAAAAAACTTAATAAATCAAAAAATTGTAGATAAATGTACTAAAATTACAGAAAGATATATATTGAAATATACAATTTAAGTAACTGTTTTAATATACTGTTTAATTTTATATATATTATAAAGAAAATAAAAAATGATTTTTAAATATTGTAAAGAAAAGACACAAAGATAAAATTTAATATCTCTGATAAAAAAATTAGTATTCTCAATAAATATTCCTCATTAAAATTATTATAAAAATTTTAAAATATACGAAATAGTTAACAAAAATTAACCCATTATAATCGAACTAAAAATCAATTTATTATTTCAAAAAATAAATTTTACATACTCAATCTCAAAAATTTTCAAACTTTTACATACAATTCCCCCCTCACACCAAGCAATTTTAAAGAAAAATTTTTTTGTTCAAGCTATCATTCTTCTATTACATTTTTAATTGTTAAATTTATGAATTTAATTTACACGTAATTGAAAATTAATTATTGAAAATCTTGAATGAAAAAGTACACAACAAATCTCTGTTAATACAACACGATTTTAATAACAAAGTAGATGTCCAAAATACCCAACACCATACGGAACTCACCAAAGTGTTCATGTTGACCGGAGTTGTTTTCTGGTTGTAAAGAGCTAGTCTAATGGACGCGTTTATATAGCGGTGCCGAAACCTTGCGAGGTGCGAGGACCTCTCTCCCATTGATAGATTTCTGGCCGAGGCTTAGACACCGGCAAATATTACGAAATTTTCAGACAGGGGGTCTAATAGGGGGGTACGCATGGGTGTTGACCATTTGTACAGTTCAGACGTTCGACGTCTCATCGACGTATAACATCGTGTCTCTATGTTTTTTGGAGAAAATATTCGCATTTTCATCGATTTGAAAATTTGGAGAGATTTACCAATCATCGTGTAACCGTGAGTATAATTCAGATGATTACTTTAAGAAAGAAAAAAGAAACAATGCTTTTATTTTTTTTTTTTATTATTGAAATTTATGTAATGTAAGAAGAAGACGATGACAATTATAAGAAGAGAACATTGGTGATTGATATTTATAAAATTTGAATAAAATTTTGTACTATTATTTTTGTTTTATGCTATTTCTTTTAATTAGAACTGAAAATTTTTTCCATATAAAGGTTTATAAATTGTAAAAAAAGATATCAATAATCGTTTCGAAGAACTTATAAATATATATAACTGTTTCGAAGAACTTATAAATATATATAAGAAAATTCTTTTAAAAAATGGGATAAATTTTTTTAAAAATGGGGTAAATTTTTTTCGTAAAAAGAGTAATGAAAATGAAAAAGGAAAAAATTCTTAGATTAATCTATTGAACAAATATTTAAATTTTCATTGAAATCAGCAATATATCAATCATCGATGTTCCTTTGTAAATATTATCCTATGAACATATTATTATACTTAGATATTAAAATAAGTGATATAAAAAAAAAAAGGAATATTTCTCAAAGATTGATTTTATAATTTAAAAAGTTATAGACATATTTTTACAATTTACATAGAGTAGAGAGTGAAGATTAATTTCATTTCTTTAATCATTGTTATTAATAATAACTGCTTATCGTATTCAATTAAATATGGTTGTAATATTTCATGGTTATTAAGAAATTGTTTCAAAACTTACATTTTTCCTTTAACTCTTATAATATTTTTACAATATCTCAAATGTACAATATCTCTTGTTTCACTGTCAGAGAGTGAAAAGAAAAGTATGTGAAAGCCTCTGGAGAATTTTTTTAAAATCAATTATTTAGAAGTTTTATAAAAATAAAAAATATTTTATATATACATATATATTATAATATATTTCGTTACTTTTATCCTATTTTTAAAAAAAAAATTGAAATTTTATTTCTTGCATCCAAATTGAGTGAAAACGAACAAAATTGAATTAAGAAGCTTTTTGAATCTAATTGAAGCCTTCGTCATGTTCTCACATTTATAAAATTCTCATTAAATTAATTCTAATTTCAAACTTTAATTATCAAAAATTTAATTCCTTTGTATTACTATTACTTTATTATTGCCATTAAATAATAAGCAACCAAATTACTACAAATTATCATTTTTCGAAAAGAATATTTCATCTTCATTCGACAGTTTCATCCGACCATCTTTTGTAACATTTTGTACAAAAAGATGCACGTAATTTTGTGATTCGTCGCAGATTGAAAAGAAGATAGGAAAGGACAGGGGACCGGATGTCATATTTTGAAATGCATTTTAAGGACATAAGTCGAATTCGAAGTCGAATTCCAAATATGGGATTCATTTTCAATGCTTCCATTGACCCGGTGATCCCTTTGTGCGAATTTTCGTATTTCGCGTGTGTTATAAATTCAGCCGTGTAACGAATCTCTGGAGCCTTGGTCGCGGTACGCGAACCGAATATATAAAGTTAATCTATCTTCACCCGTGGCAAGGGGATCGCTGCCAAAATTCCTTTTCTGCAGGAAGTATGCATCATTTGTTTGACCATTCTTATGCACTCCCTGCAATATTAACGCGAACTATTTTTTAGCGTACATACATTGAATTTTTCATTTAGGACTAAGAGAAAATGAATAAATACAATAGAATTATTCGAAATAATTGGTTAGATTTAACTATTAAAATTAGATTAAATAATTTTTAAATACAGAAATTTATTGGATAAAAGAGAGATATATTTTAAAAATTGTAAAAAACAAATTAATCATTTTTTTAAAATGAATTAGAATGTGAATATTTTCAGATATGATCTCGTGTGATAATTCTGTTATTGTATAATCTATTTTAGAAACATATATTTTTATATCTTGAAATAATGCAGAATTTTGTTTTATTTGAAATAGTAGTTATATAAAGAAATAATATTTCAAATGTATTATTTAATATTAATTCATGTCACAAATATTACTTTATGTTTCATTGATATATAAAAAAATAATATTCTAAATAATAATATTTTCAATAAATAGTTTTTAATTTAATTATTAATATAATATATTCAACTTGTTATTTTAATATGATATATAAAACATTCAATTTATTTTCAATGTCAAGAAATAAACACAGTCATGAATATAGTGTAATATTTTTATATTTATTATATTTTGATTAGTCGGAAAATAAGTATTATTTATATTGAATCTGAATATAAATAATAAATAGTATTTGTCAATAATTTAAACATTAAATGAAATAATATCTTGTAGTAGTATTTATTCAACGTACATTTATTCAATTTTACATTTCATAATTAGCAGATAAAATTTAGAATTCTTAACAAATTTTTATCTTTATTTTTGTTTATTGTATTATGTTTTATAAAGAGAGTAATAATCATCTTTCAAGATGAAATTATGAAATTTTTTGGAATAATTTTGGAAAATATTAAACGAAAAATTATCAGAGTTTTAATCAATTGATTTGCATTTAAATATCATAAAAATCATAAATATATAAAAACTAATAGAAATTATTAAAATGCTAATTAATTTTAAAAACTTATTTATTTTGTTATACATTTTATGCTTTAAATTTTTATTCTATAAATAAAAATTTCACCTTATAAAAAATGATAGATAATTTTTACATTTATTATTATATCTTGTATTGTTTTCAACTTATACGTGAAAATGACAAGTTCACTTAAAACTGACTTGACAGAGAATGTGTTAATCTGTTTAATTGCTGTAAAATCGAATACAATGTTGTGTCTTCTAGCCTGTCATCAATTCAAATCAGAGCATCATTTTTCTTCATCTAATTTATCCATTCATAGTTAACCATAGTTAATCATAAATTTTCCTAATTCATGTTTAAAACTATAAATCAAAGTGATAATCATTAAATAAAGATTTTTAATTCCTAGTATTATGAAATATGTATAATATATTATATTAATTTTTTATTAATATTATATAATTTGTATTATATTAATTTTGTATTAATATTTTTGTATTATATTAATTTTGTATTAATATTTAATTATTTTATTCTATTCAATTTGTTTTATTTAATTATTTATATTAAATAATTATTATTTCAATGCTTATTTTTTTTCAAAATATTAAATACTTGTATTTAGTTTATGTGGAAACATTATTATATTTAATCACATATAATTATATTATAATTATATTAATGATTTAAAATAAATATTTCAAATATTTAATATAATTATATTTATAATATAAAAGATGTATTAAGCATAATTTACAATCAATTATTAAAATATTATTTATTAATGTTAGTCTTATCAAAATGTTAAAGTTTCATTAATTAATATTAAATAACTTCTTTAAATTGTATTTTAATAATAAAATAATTTTTGCTATCTACTTAATCTTTAGATTCTTAACTATATGTAGAAACTGGTAATATAATAAGACAAAATAGCAGAATAATGAGAGAATAATATAGAGAGTGATATATGAAGGTAATATAACATTAATTTATCTATAATTTAATAGTTTTTTAAATTCAGATTTTTATCCTATTTTTATACAATTTCAGTGTCTCTTAATTATTGCGCAATTCTCCAATAAAATTTCATTTCAGTTACACGCATCAAAATATGTCGTCTCAAAAGATATCTTAAATATCAGAATTTAAACGATCGAAATTAAACATTTTAACATTGAGAATTCATGTTTGTCTACGAATCTCTTATAATCTCAATTCGCAAGTTCGAACGAACTTTCCAAGGTTTTCAAGACATTCATTCTTACCTAACTCTTCCAGAATACAATTTTTTAAGAATAGAAGAATTCTTCTAAAAAAAGCTCTTTTTTTTTATCAGTCATTAATGAAAACATTGTTTCTTTTGCAAAGAAAATAAAAGAAATTTATTAATTGAATGTTCAATAAAAAACTAATTATATTTGGTATGCAAATAAATTTGAGAATAAAACTCGCAAGTGTTGTTCTCGGAGGGGTATTTTTCATAAGTGGACTTAGCCCGAGGATAACTTTCACTCTTAACACAATGTCCATTATAGAAAAAAATAACTGTCCAGGGCAACTCTCGAGAGTTTTACTCCAAAAATATTTTAACAAATAACTAATGAATGATTGACTATTATTAGTTAGACTCGCAATTAAAATTAATCATTTAATAATCAACACGCGATTACGTCGTGCGTGCAGAGTATTCAGAATGAAAGGGTTAACGAACAATTGTCCAAATATCAATTCATTCGTAACTATTTGAAGAAGGAAGACATGGAATTGTTTACTCATCAAATTTCGCCGTTAAACGGCGAAACTTCCATTTCTTTTTCGTGTTACGCCTACGTCTCCCCCTGTACAAATGCATGTGTATGGTTCTGTAATTTGGCAATAAATCTTCTTTCTTGACCCGGGAAAAAAAGGAGTGGAGAGAGTCAAAGGATCACGTGCAACAGATGTAAGCGAGCGCCATGATGTCCTTTATAACCCACGGCTATCGGATTTCTTTTTCTAAGGTTATGCGAAAACGAACGTCCAAGAAACCGGTAAACGCGGTATTTTGACGAATCGAATTTGGTAATAGGTCATCCTCTCATAGTGTGTTTCGTCATTTCGTCGAATTTTAAAATTTGATGCTCTCATCATGATGATAATTTCGATAGATCTCTTTTTTTGTTATTTGCGCACGTGAGATGTGAATTCATGTGTATTTGTGATTATAATCTATTATTTTT